TAACAGTGTACTCAATTTGGTGATATTCTGACAAAGATCTGGCAGTCTTTGAATGGCACTATAATGGTCTACTCAGCTCTGTATGATGCGGTTCTTGTTTCGCTGTACAGTTTGTAGACCTTCAGTTTTGTAACCTTGCCCCATTTCAACAATGTCAACGTCCAGTGATATCAAACTGGATCAAACAATTACTTTTGGAGAAAATCCTCTAACAGGGCCGGGATTATCTGTTTTAATATTACTCTACATTCACAAGCACAGCTATACCGTCTAATAATGACACAAGTGGGAGGACAAACACACACACACACACACACACACACACACACACACACACACACACACACACACACACACACACACACACACACACACACACACATCTCTTAATGAAGAGCTTAGTGAGATGTGTATGTGCTTGTGTTATATACACCCCAGTGAGTACAGCATGAGTGCATAACTCAGCAGTGCATAAGTCTCTGCTGCATTGTACTGTGGTGTTTGTAAAATGTCAAAGGAACAAATTAATCTGTTCAAATTAAATCCTCTTTTAATCACACACACGTACACAACACCCACCGTGTAATTTAGTCTCTGCTTGTAACCCATCCCGGTATTAGGAGCTGACAACTACTCCAGAGCGCCGGGGAGCAGTGCGGTGCCTTGCTCAAAGCCAACTCGGTACTGCCCAGGAGGTTAAAGGTCCACACTTGAACTGACGACCCTGTAGGATAAAACAAAACATAAAATTCAAGCAGGAGATATTTTATTTTGTATAAAAGTTACTTTAATACATCAAATAAAACGTAACTTTAACTAAAGCCTTAAAAAAATGATTTAGCTCACCTGGTAGACCACACACTGGGGCTCACAGATTTGAATCCGACCCGAGGATAATTTACGTTTGTCAATCCCTTTGTCTCCCCCTTTTCAACTCACTCTCCGATAGTGAACCAAATGAATACCACCGTCCCCAATATTGTTTGACTTAGTTTATTAAAGCATCGTTACATTTATTCAAATGAAGGGTTACTGTCTTATCCTATAAACTTGTACTATGTTTTTCAGGTGAAAAGGATGTTTTAGTGGATGTTGTTTGCATTATATTGAACATGTTAGTATTTCTGCTCTCACAAAGACACAGTAGTAGGTTTGACATTTGTAAGCAGGCTGCAGAGTCAACTTGCACAAAGCAAGAGAGAAAGAGAAGTTGATCAATCCAACAAAATACGATCCGCCTGCTCTCTAAACAGCCACCATGTTGGGAGCTGCTGGATGCATGTGAGGGAAGTCTGCCTCTCAGTTTGTGTTTGGTGCATTATTGTGTGTGTGTGTGTGTGTGTGTGTGTGTGTGTGTGTGTGTGTGTGTGTGTGTGTGTGTGTGTGTGTGTGTGTGTGTGTGTGTGTGTGGTTGCTGCAGTGCCCCTGCTGAAGGGCAAACAGTAAGGCCCTGGTCAGCATGATGTAGGTCTCCTGAGATGTCCTGGGGTTTTTGGATCAATACCTTTCCTCCTGCATCTCCCTGCCTCACCCCTCCTCACCCCTCGGCTTGACTTTGGGCTATTTAGGGTATCTCTATGGATTAACAAGACCCCAACAATCAATGGGCCAAACTTACTATCACTGTACACTCCCTCCTTTATCTCGCTTTGTACCTCTGCTTGTGTCAGCTCCTTTTCTCTGGAAAACGTTTAGTCCTTAGTAGTTTCTCGTGTTGTCCTGAAACAGCTGAAATTACTGGGAGTGTAATGTCACATACACACTGTCAGCTGAACAGAGACAAAAGCAAGGGGAACATCATTTCTAATGCAGGTGCAACCTAATACGGACGGTCTATGTTCATATGAGAATTCACACAGATAATGATTTTTACCTGCTGACGTTGGAGTCTCTCTTAGTTAACCCATTCTGTGTCTCGCTATGACTCCACCACAGTTTGCAGTAAATAGGAGTGTCAGTAGAAATGTTGTCACCCACAGGGCAATTGGTACCAGCGCCTGTTCAGACCACATCATAGCACAAGCCATGGTGCAATTGGGTTATTTTTGGGTCTTTATATGGTAAAGCTTTTAACAATCAAATAGACGTCAAGTTCAAACGCTTTACTTTTCAACCACCAACTGACTAAATTCAGCCTTTTTAGTAAAAAGAAAAGAGACCCAAGGGGAAGATAATTTATGGTACTATAACGTTTCTTGTATCTGCAAATGTTAATAGTGTTAATATTTATTTTCCAGACATTACTAATCGAACAATAAATGAGAAGAAATAATGTTGCTGGTTGTGAATGAAGCCTACCACTAGATCTCTAAATCGTAACGGTTCTCTGTCTTGAGCCGTCTTTTTGAACTCTACCTGTATCAGATGTGTGATGATATTCTGGTTTATAAAATTACAGAAACATGTTTGTCATGTCCATGTATCAGCAGCAGGAACCTGAACATGAATCTGTGTGTACTTCTACTCTGATTCCGACAAACAAGGCACTGAAGACAATGACAAAATGCTAGGGTTGGGTATTTAAAAAACCCATTATAATTACCTGTCCCCTGACAGCAACAGAATAATAAATGTTTGTTCTACTTCAATTGTTCAGTTGAATACAATGTCACCAACACCAAAAGCCAAACATTTTGGTGGCACCACTGAAACGTCCAATGGAAAAATATCAAATGAACATTTGACTGGAGAAGTTTTGATACTACTTGGACTATTTCGGCCGATACCTATAAAGGTATTAATACCCAGCTTATAAAAAATATCTGTTCAATGTCCTCAGCTGAATTACAAAATGACAAATATCAATCAGATATTGCCATTACTGATTGATTGTTAAAGTAATTACTCAAGCAAAATGGTAATATTTGTAAGGTTACTTGTCTTATTATAAAGTAAACTGAATATTTTGGGGGATTAACAGATAGAGAATGTCTTACATAGTATCGTCTACATAATAAATATATATATAGTAATAGATACATATGATTTAAATTGGCTGTACCCTTTGGATCAGTTATTGTCCTCATGTAACCAACAAACTGTATCATAGAGCACAATTTAGCAGCGCACTCTCCCAGTCTTTATCTGATATAGTGATTTTTAAACCATCTGTGGTCATTGTGGTTTGCTCTTCACTTTAACAATAGTTCGGAGTCGAGCACAATGGCACCCTGACCCCCCGTTTCCTTTAGTGGCTATCCTGATTAGCTAAGTGACATGTTTCTCCCATGCCATTGTTAATGTATTAGTGTCTGGAGTCCCTGTGGAGGTCAGTAACTGCGCTCAGCTAATCATTTAGAGATGGTTATCATTCAGTTGTTCATTGTGAGGAGCTGGGAGATGTACTGTAGATATGGAAGGAGAGGGAGAGAAGAAAGAAAGAATCATGTTGTAATGAGTCATAAAGGATGAGAGAGGAAGGTTATTGAGTAAGATGCTGAAGAGAGGAAGGCAGATGAGGCCTTCTGTCGTAACAGGAACGATTTATAATGTTGTGAGAAAGGGTTTTCAAAAACTGCTTTATTGTACTGTTTACACACACAACATCACAAACCTATGTAATCATGTCATTTAATTCTTGAAATTCGAAACCGTGCGATACACATTGTTTGTTTACTTTATTCTGAACAAACATTTAGACCAAACATTTTAAAAGGATTTCTAAAAGAGATGCAATTGTAGCTCTGTTAAACACAAACAGAAAATGTATAAACAGTAAATGGATTAAGGTACATTAGAAAACAGTTTTTAAAAGTAGCACTAAAGAAAGACATAAAAGGAAACCAAGTTTATGTTTAAAGGAAGGATACACTGTAACAAAATAATAGTGCAAATGTAGTAGTTCAAAAATATTATTGCAAAATCAATGCGTTTTAATGTGAACTAATAAAACAATCCAATACGTTGACATTCTCAGAAACAAATACACTTTAAAAAGTCAACACATTTTTTCAAAAGCAACTCCGTTGGAAAACTGTCTCTTTCCTGTAACTCAATAACCTGAGGATTACATTATATTGTGATGACTTCACCTCTATGGAAAACACCTGATCTACTTCCTGCTATGCTTGTACTTATTTGGCAGCTGATGTGACCCACTGCCAGGTACACAAGTACAAATGTATTTACCTTATTAAAGGGTCTTTGAGTTCTGCAGTGCAAGTCCTAACGGGTCAAAACAGTTTGTACTAGAACTTAAGTGCAAATAAATCCAAGCTCTAACAGCTTTAACAACAAAACATGGCATCATTCAAAAAAACACTCTAAAGCGGATCCAATTTCTTTCGAGTCCCGTGATTTGAATTCCCATACGTAGAAGAAAAGTGGTCCGTGTACACAACTGTACTTATTTTCACAGTGTCTGCACATTCAAACCTGGAAGCTGCCATTGTATAACTACTGTAGAGTCTAATTTGATGGCCGTTTAGTAACTCTGAAGGAGAAGCAAGTGTTGCTCTTTCACTTTACCTGCTCTGATTGATCCGGAGTCACTTTCTCTTTGTCAACCTCTTCTCCTGGTTCCCTTCTTCTTCAATACATGAAGATGAGTAATATCGAAGCCCCTTTTGCAGCATCAGACATGAAAGTAATATCTATTAGACAAATACAAGTAGTAAGTGGGGATGGCTCACTCAACAAAATACCACTTACCTACTGTATGTGTACATCTTATTCCCCAACCAATACAACTAAGCCAAAAAAAGACTACTTGAAAAACACTGACTTTATGATTCAGGTGGCACTTCATGACCAATTTGAAAAGATATACAAATGAAGGTGTGATTTTGTACCAAACAACGTTATCGTTTCTTTGTAGAATATGAAGGCTGCAGCACCACAATGACTTTTAGTGATTTTGATAACATTTTGATTATATGTTCAGACCTACTTCTTAAGATGGCAAATATCATTTTTGGACATGTCCTTCAAGTGTGATGTTAGTACTGTATTATCCCGCTGTTGTTTGTGATTATAACAGATGTTTCTCCCTTTACTTCCAGCTGCATTCTGGGGTGACATCGCTTTAGACGAGGAGGACCTGCGCATGTTCCAGATCGACAGGACGATAGACCTCTCACAGCACACACACATGCACACACACTCCCGGCAGGGGCACACGTCTGGTAAGTGGACTCAACATCTCACTCTCACTCAATAATCATCATGTAATCCTCTCTCTCGCATGCTTCCTCTGAAACTCTCTCCCTGATTACCCATCGTAGAGTAAAGCCGCTTCAATAGGAAGAGGACAGAGGCCACCTGAGGATATCAGCGTTTATTGTACATTGTTTTGATTATTTGCTCATGTGTGTATCAGGTGGACTGGAGGAACAGGAAATCTCTGAGAAGAAAGGATCTTTATATCTTCTGCTGGAGAGAATACGCAGGTTTGGCTTCGGTAAGGACTGTAAACTTAACTTTTCATGTTCAAGCTAATAAACTACAAATCCAAAATCACTTACCTTACTGCCATAATGACATCCTGGCTCTAGCATGAAGCCTCTGGTTTCCATTATTTTTTATTCAGTATGGAAACCAACTGTTGTGCAGGGACTGAAGGCTTTTAATAGACCCCTAAAAAAAGCTGTTTAAAGGAAGTTTGAATGCACTACCAAGAGGATCTTTGGTTGCCGCTTGCCACTTTAACCATTTCAACTTTGACAAAAGGGGTGATGAAAGTTTCACTGTTATAAAAAACGTGTATCACGTTTAAATTATCTGAAAGTTGATTGATTTGATGTGATAGTGAAATCATTCAAACTGAATTAAGTAAATGAAGTGGCTTTCTTGGATCAGTACTGCACAGAAAGTTGTTTCTTCTTCTGCATTAAAGTCATTTTGGCTCATTGTTACAAGTGGGACACATATACAAAGCAATGTTGGTTTTTCCACTCTAATCCAATATGAATACAGCTTCGTCATTTAATGGAGAATCTCAGATTTGAACTTTTTGACAGTGATAAAGTCAGGCACCTATCCTTTATTTAACCAGGTAAAAGACTCATTGAGATTAAAATCTCTTTTCCAAGAGTGAACTACGAATTTTACTATGAAGTAAAGTCTGAGAAATGCATCAGCTTTATAATACATCTGCTTTCAATACTCTGAGTGTTGCTAGATCTCTGACGGTTCAAGTCTGTCTTCTTAAAGCTCTTTGCAAGTGGGCTAACAGCTCACCTCATTCAGTATTTATCATAAACATATTTAAATGAAATGTTTAATAAAACAGTATAATTGCACAGTCACATCTATATCTGTATGAGTTGTATGACCCTCTTAGCTGAGAACAAACTCTGAAAGGTCACGTATAATAAGACCCAGTGCGATCCAATAATCTTAGAGCTAAATTATATATCAACATTCCTATTAATAGACCAGTCATTTATTCAGTTTGAACACACATAGCAAGATCTTGTTTTTTTTCCTCGCTTTGTTAGACTATCTTCCCAAGAACTTCAGCAGGGGGGCGGCCAATCCGAAAAGCCAAACCGGGAAAGGTGGGAAGATCAGGAAGGTTGTGAAGAGACGTATTCCTCGAGCAGCCACGTCCCGGGCTGAGAGGATATGGCCTGGAGGAGTCATTCCCTACGTCATAGGAGGAAACTTCACTGGTAAGCACCTGAACTGGACTGCTGCCTGTACGCCTCAACTGTAAAATACACACTGACGTGTGATTGTGTGAAAGTAGGATGTGAAATGTGTGGGTTTCAGGTAGTCAGAGGGCCATGTTTAAGCAGGCCATGCGTCACTGGGAGAAACAGACGTGCGTAACTTTCATTGAGAAAACGGATGAGGAAAGCTACATCGTGTTCACCTACAGGCCCTGCGGGTGAGTTTGGTGAATCTCTTTGTGTATGTGTGTGTGTATGTGTGTGTGAGTGTGTGTGTGAGTGTGTGTATGTGTATGTGTGTGTGAGTGTGTGTGTGTGTGCACCTAGAGTTCAGTAGTGACCTTGTCACAGCGAGAGACCATACGGTCACTCAACAATGGCTCCGCTTTCCTTCCTGTCCTGCTGCTGTTTCCCCATCCCAGCGATCACGCTGCTCACTCCAAGTTTTTGTATGTTTGTGCAGTTTTTTGTTCATACTCTGCAGAAGAGCATTGTTCTGTCGAGTGGCAGCACGATGGGGTCAGAGTGTGTTTGTACAGTGGTGGCTCTTCACAGACTGGCTGAGAGGTTTGAGATAGGGCTGCACGATATATCGTGTCGTGACGATAATCGCGATATGCGCATGCACGATATTCACATCACGTGGACGTGCAATTTTTTTAATAAAAAAAATAAAATATATATTATTAATATTTTTTTAATTTTTAGGACATTATATTGCGATATTAAGTAGGCAAATTAACTCAAACACGTCATGTTACAATTATTTTCCTACAAAAGGAAAACTTGCGCGGCTCTCATGTCAGGGGTACTTGAGTGAGTGACATGCAGGCTCTGCATGCACAGCAAACCACCAATCACAATCAAATCTCCAAAGCAAACGGACCCGGTGATTAAAGATAAAAACACTGAATAAAGAGCTAGCTCAACTTGTTGCTCTGATAACTTAAGATCCAGACGTCCGTGACTAAAATCCTTCATCCGGTTAAATATAGTTAAAAAAATACCAATTGTATAGCATTAAAGTTCAAGAAAGGAAAAAATCCCGAAGTATGTTTTTTCCAATATCGTGCAGCCCTAGTTTGAGATGTTAGGGTTCATCTCTCTGAACTGTTGTTGTGCAGACGGATAAAAGAATAAGACATGTAGAATAGATAAATAAGTTGATAAATTAATAAGTGGCAGTAAATGCACCAATAGCAAATCTGATGGATGATTAATTGAACTCAATTACAAAAACAACATTCACTATTATTTTATACTACTGTCAGTCAAATCCTTCGGGATAATCACTGCTTGTTGTACAGAAGAACCAATATGAAGATTTGTTGCATAATTCTTACCAAATGTCCTATTGTGCTTTTCAGAATTCAGACATATCTTATGAACATTTTATTTTGACTTGAAGTGAACAAGGCTGGTCCAACATCTGTATTGTTACTAGTGACAAGAAAAGATTCAATAGCACCAAGTATGAATAAATATACATATTAACTGTTAATTGCCAAAATCTTGGACAAACTGTTTGGCCACATTTGTAGTCTTATTTTCTTACCCTCTTTTTAATGGAATGGAAAGTTTTTTTTATAAACAAATCTTATCTTTCTCAAATATTATGCCAAGAAAAACCACATCCAAGCTTAATTATTGATTCCAATACACAGCGCTTGATTCTATTAGAACTTCTGTGGACTTAACAATAATAGTTAGGCAGAACAGTGTGCAATAATCTGTACGCTAAAATATATTAATATGTTTTGGTTGAACGAAGAAACTGCAGATTGTATTATGTTTACCTTAACATTTCTTGTTTTTTGTAGCACCTCGTATACTTTATTTTTGACAATGTATTCTATTTTACTTAAAGAATGGAGGAATCTGCAGAAGTTCATTTTAAAATGTATCTTATTTTTTAAACGTAAATGCCATTTCATTCAATGAGTGACAGATCAGCGTGTTTACAGATGATGCCAGTTTTCTCGTCCTCTGTGATTGGCTGGCTGCATCAGAGATTAGACACTTTAATCTCATGTATAAATACCCTGCAGCTTGGATGTGTGACAGAAACAGGCAGACACTGGGAGAGAAAGGAATAATAAATATATAAATGATGTTTTATTAAAGAAGCCCAGTACATAGCATGTGGCACCTGTCGTGGGTGAAGTGCTGGTACTAAAGCTGTAAATGCTGGAGTAAAATACTCTTATCTACTCCAATGTCTCCTGATCCCTACCCTGCAATCAGCTCGCTGTATAACTTTAATCAGATTTGTTAGCCTGGCCCCAGATGTCTCGGTTAACCAGAAAAATGTGTGTTTGTGTGAGTGTTCTGTGAGCAGCAATATGTGAATTCTCACAGCTTATTTTTCCCATTTGGTTATGAAACCACAGCGTTATCAGAGCGTTGTATGTAAATAAATCCTGACTTTTTCCCTGTGGTGGACGTAGTATGGGGCAGGAAATCCTGGAAAGACTGTGTGAGTCTGGGTGTGTGTGTGTGTGAGTGTGATTGTGTGTGTGTGTTAAAACTGCACTGCTTTTTTCCACTGCCAAATGTGTAGTAAATATCATCCGCCTATCTCCCTGCTATCAACTTCCTACTAATCCTTATTAGGTGTTGTTCCTATGTGGGTCGTCGTGGCAACGGGCCCCAGGCTATCTCCATAGGCAAGAACTGCGACAAGTTTGGCATCGTGGTGCACGAACTGGGTCACGTCATTGGCTTCTGGCACGAGCACACGCGGCCTGACCGTGACGATCACGTGACCATCATTCGAGATAACATACAACCAGGTGAGAATCGGTACCCACGATGCACCTGGGCCTCGGTTAAGAAAACTATAGGGTCAGTAGTTAATTTATTTTATTTGATATTGCCATCACAGTAGCATTTGAATTGGACCTAAAATGTATACGCAAGCAACGGATGCAATAGGCTTTGTGTTAGTAAGAAAACGATTACTTTCAACACCTGTCCCCCTTTTTATAAGTTTAAAATAGAAAAAAAAATATATACAGATACAGTAAAATCACAAATTCATGCTCAACTAGAACAGCTTTCGGTGAGCACAGTCCTCTGCCATTTCCAATATCCCATAAAGAGCTCTTCCGATGCTCCCATTTCCAGAGTTAGGAATTCTGTCCTTCGTGAGCCTTAACTCGTAACAAGGAGGCGTGTGGCGCAATGGACTTCACCCCAAATTGCTCCTGTGGGGACTTTCCACAGTATTGAGTATGTAAGTCGCTTTGGATAAAAGCAAGTAACATGTAATGTAATATAACATGAACTCAGAGATTGCTCAGAGCGTAAATACAACACGTAGATATTTGTTACAGAGTTGTTGTTTCGACTTAAGGATGAGTTCTTGGCAAAACTCCTTTTACCGATTACTCTGGCACCAAACGATTGCAGCACTAATGTCCTATCTGACAATGTTCAGACATTATTAATGTATCCGCCCTGTGATTCAGATCTGCTCCAAATGTAATGACTTCATCCCTGGCCCATGCTACACCCCTTTTCAACAAGTTTTATGACAACCCGGCCAGTAGTTTCTCCATAATCATGCAGACAGACAAACAGACTTACCAAAAGGAAAACAAAACCTAATTCCAGGAGGTGATACATTCACTAATACATAGACAAAACATAGACAAGAGAAAACATAGATGTGTCTACAGGGGTATTAGGGGTGAGAACAATCTCATCTTCCTTTTAGGCATTACTTAATTAAAAACATTTGTATTGCATTAACAGAGGAGACTGATTGTCAAACTCTGTTAAGCGTAATACAAGTTTCTAAGAGGAGTTATATGAGGACGTTTTTGGACAACGCTTGTGTCAGGCCTGTGTGAGTGTGAATAAGTCGTCTAATGACTGTGAAGTCACCTTGACCCTCCGGACTGTCTCTTTTCCTCCCACACACTCCTCTGAACACGACTTTGCCAGAAAGGTGTTAAATCAAATGACAGACCACCTGACCCAAGTTTTTATTTAGAAACAAATCTGAGCTCTCCACTGCTCTGCTCAATTGGACTTCAAGTATTTTAATATATGCCGTAATCCACATTTTGTTTTTTAGCTTTGTGTGTTCTGTAAGGATTATACGTGTTTGCGTTCATGGTGGATGAGTGATACAATTGAGATGTTCTTATACGCTGCTGTGCTTTTCGTGTGTGCAAATGTGTGTAAATGGGTGTATGTGTGCTTCGCAGGCCAGGAGTATAACTTCCTCAAGATGGAGCCAGGGGAGGTCAACTCTCTCGGGGAGCCATATGATTTTGATAGCATCATGCACTACGCCAGGAACACCTTCTCACGGTAACTAGCGGCACAGTCTGCTCTCATGACCTGTGTTGAATTTAGAGTTCATATACACACGCTGAAAAACAAAGCAGACTTCAAACCTGAAAAACTTTTCTTTTGTGAAACGTTGGTTTTGATTTTTTGAATATTTTTTTATGTTGATGTTGTTTAGTGGAGCTGATAGTTAAGACTACCCTTGACCAACTTTTTATCACTCAGGGCAAGTAAAGGCATGTTAAAAGTGAATAAAGAAAGACTGCAACTATTTATTACCCTGGCCACACGGTAAACAAATACCAACAAACATATGTCCAATTCAAGCAGCTGTAATTATAGTTATAAAATAGTTTTTCCATTTCTTTTTACTTTTGACCCATTAAACTAACCAATATCTTCTTGTGACCACATGTCATTAGTTTTGATGTCTTCTGGCTACGACCAGCTCAAATAAAAATAGATTTTTTTGCCAATGTAAAAACAATATGGAAGGGGTTGCCTGTTGTGATAACATATTACCATATTAACTTAAAAGTTGATGATATAGATACAGATATATATTCAAAATACCTTTTTTCGAAGAATAATACATAATATGAAAGGGGCTTGAAGAGCTGCAAAAATCCAGGAATTCACAAAACAGGCAAAACACAAAAAAGGTCCTCATAAACACATTTGTTCTGCCATCATATCATCCTAATCAGAGTCGGAATCCGAATACCTTTATTCATCCCGCAGAGGGGACATTTGCATTTGTTACAGCAAGAAAAGAGCCAAAGACAGCTTAATATTAACTAAGAAGAATGCATAAAAATGAAAGATACAAAAATAAATATAAATTAGACAATTTTTTGGGTGGTTTTTGACCCCACTGTGTTGTTTTCTCTCAAACATCTGGAATCAGCCAGTTATTTGTCAGTATGATTGATCACAGGTTTACTTTCCATGTGAGGATGCTTTTAGTCGTTGCAATATCTACTCCTTAAACCTCTTCAATTCCCCCACTCTGCTCCATATCACAACACAAAACAAGATAGTGATAGGATGATTAGTATTTGCTCTGAGATCATAAATTGTGATGTTTTGAAGAAATATGAATGTGTGTTGAAATATCTCGTTTCCTTCCGAAAGGGGGATGTTTCTGGACACCATCCTTCCGTCCAGAGATGAAAATGGGGTCCGGCCTGCTATTGGCCAGCGCACCAGGCTCAGTAAAGGAGACATTGCACAGGCAAGGAAGCTGTATAGATGTCCAGGTACTGATATATTTACTATGAGGTAGTGTGTGTGTGTATCTGCTAGTATCTTTAGTGTAAAAAATGTGCCCGCCCTTTCGCTCTCCAAGGCACAGAGGCGAAGTTAAGTAATTTGTTTTTCCATGTGACGCTATCTCCCTTTTTTCGGGTTTCCCACACATCATAAACACTCTTTGTGTGCTGTTCGGGGATCCCTCAGGTCCCTGCTGCGCGGTACTTACGTGATCTGGAGCCACTCTCAAGCTGAGCTGTTTGGTAATTTTGCGAAAATGTGAGCAATTGCTTTTTGGCCCACGCAAACATCCCCAGGACAGGTTCAAGCTTCAGGTCATCATGTACACACTTTGTCCTCAATCTTAGAAAAACAGATTGAGTAATATTTGTCACCATTCTGGTCTGTTACATTCACCAAAGCCCCTTTTTTTATAATGATGTTTTTGATCTTGATGTTGTTCTGGCAAAATACAATTCATATGAAAATATGCACGTGTGGCATTTATTTTTGTGTGTTAATATGAATAATCCCACATATATAGCGAAAAACAAGACTGAATTTGCGTGTCCCAGCTGGAAATATACAACTTCAACCTTATAAGGTCATATTTGAGTGATACCATATTCACTGACAGATGAACAGAGCCCCAGGGCATTGTGGGGGAAAACAGCATGCATGATGGGATAGGAGTGGCACATTTGGCTAACCTCCTTTTTGAAAGGGAGTGACAGCATTAGTCTCGGTAGGAAAATAAAAAAATGAAGACAGCAATATTGTGTGAGAAATGTCCTTAACATTCCAATCCAGCTGCAAATCATTTTATGTTGTTGTCTTTTGTGTGATTAAAATAAAGTCAGTCTTGATCACTTAAAAGTGGGGTAGGTAAGTTTGAGAAACCGGCTCGAGATACACTTTTTGTCATATTCCATGGAATGCTCTTAACATCCCGATAGCAATGAATATCTTAAGTGCTTTGACAAAAAATCCATAAAGAAATTTCATCTGTGGAAGCCGTAGTGCTGTAAAAAGCACGACCAATCATTTTAGCCGGCCCGGCTAAAATAACTGGATGGCCTACCTGCCTGTCAGCCTTCCATTTGTGCACAAACTTATCTCGTGCCCTCATTGGTCATGTGCGTGTTCATGTGTGTTGGAGGAGGGCCTCTGTGAGGAAGTGGCAGATTTTTTCCGGCTGTGTATTTTCAAATTCTAGTGCACTCGAGCTGGTTTCTCCAAAATGACCTACCCCACCTTCAAAGTAAAATTACTTTATTCTGCTCCACAGTGATGAGGCTTAATGACTGTGGTTAGACCTCACGTTTGCACTGATACACACAGGAAAACAAACACTCATGCTGCTGTCTCCAAAATTGAACAAGCCAAACACAACATCAAACACAAGTTTGTTTTGGAGGGCAATTGTAATTCCTTTACGGTTTTCCTAATCAGGAAAACCCCCTCTAAAAGTTTCCATATGGACAGATCAGATATTAAAGAATGAAGCTGTTGTTTCGACAAAATAGTCTGTTGTAAATTTATTTTGGTAAATTGGCAGTTAACAATTAAGAATAATAATAGAAATGAGAGCCATGTGTTCTTAGTGATGTACCAATCACAAGCATCGGTACACAGATGAAAGGATTACGCACAACAGCAGGACTCACCACAAAAATGTAACTCCATCTGTATGTATGTGTGTGTGTGGGTGTGTTTTGGAATGTGTGTGTGTGTGTGTGTGTTGCAGCATGCGGAGAGACACTCCAAGAGTCAACGGGCAACTTCTCATCCCCTGGTTACCCCAACGGATACCCATCATACACACACTGCGTCTGGAGAATATCTGTTACACCAGGAGAAAAGGTGCACACACACAAACACACACAAACAAACAAACTCATGGGCACACACACACACACACAAAGTGACACACACAGAGTAGCAGTGAATTTGCATGCATTAACAGTAAGAGCCTGCTGATGACGATATATTGATTATGTCCTCACACACTACAGGAGCCTTCCTCATCGCCACCTCTCTTCATCTGGTCTCAGGTGCAAACATCTGTATTAAATATGTTAAATATTTACTTTTGCTCCTCCAGATTGTCCTCAACTTTACCACCATGGATCTGTATAAGAGCAGTCTGTGTTGGTACGACTACATTGAGGTCCGGGACGGATACTGGAGGAAAGCTCCGCTGCTCGGTAAGACCAGGGGACCGTCAGCCAGAGGGGCGCCGGCTACTCTTTAGTAAACTGGCTGTTCTTGTTAGCACGTTCCTTCTTTAGCTCATTCATTCTGCTGAGATCACCTCAGATGAACAAGGTTACTTCCACACTGACATGTTAAAAATGAATTATTTTTGTAAACCTTGCTTCTATGGTGTTTTTAACCCTGAATCAGAAAATGTTTCAAATGCTGATAATAGTTGCGCTGCTTTTTAGTTTGATACTCCAGGATTGAGCTTTAGACACGGTTTGATTCCAGATTGTCTCATTAGTCACAACAAATCCTTCCTTGATCGAATAACCCTTTTTCAGAATAAAACAAACCAGCTTTAACTACCGTTGGTTAAAGTCCAACATTGATAACAAATTACAAACATTGCTGACCTTTTAATTATTATTTTGTACTACAACACACTTGCTGTGACTGTAAACCCATGTCCAGACAGACAGTACCGTACTCTATATAAATGTTTCATATTTATGTTGTTATCGTGTTTTTCTCATCACTTTTCATAGGCTGCATTTAATAAAAAAACTTTGGACAACCGAGTTATCTTTCATACAGGGGTTTGTTTTTACATGTGTGTTTTTAACAGGCAGGTTTTGCGGGGATAAAGTTCCTGAAGTCTTGATCTCCACTGACAGCAGGATGTGGATTGAGTTTCGTAGCAGCAGCAACTGGGTGGGAAAAGGCTTCGCTGCCATCTATGAAGGTATCGCTTCTTCCATAGAAAACCAATATTCACATAAATAAATAAATATGTATAAACACACATATTGTAAACTCACAGCACACAATGAAAGAAAGACTGGTTTCAAATGAGATGTTAGGCTTTAAGAAGTCTTCTTGAATTATTTATACATTCACGTGTTTCAGGTGTTGTTGGTCAGTGTAGTTTATGCTAATTTGTCCCATCTGTCCGTCTGTCTGTGTCTTTGTCCCTCTGTGCAGCGATCTGTGGAGGGGAAATCACCAAGGACTCAGGACAGATTCAATCTCCTAACTATCCTGATGACTACAGACCGTCCAAAGAGTGTGTGTGGAGGATCACTGTGTCCGAGGGATACAACGTCGGGCTCAGCTTCCAGGCCTTTGAGGTGAGTCACTCCGTATGTGTGTGTGTTTTTCTTCCTTCCCCTTTGTGTGTGCGCTCAGGAATGTCTGGGTCAGATTTCACGCTCGTATAGCTACTAGGAAGTTAATAATGTTAGTCCTGCATGTGTTTGTGTGTGTATGTGTGTGTATGTTAGGATTAGTTTTGTGCTGTAAAAATGTCAGTTAAATGACTCAATATGTCCCCATCCTCACTTCACTCTTGTAAGGTCAGAGTTCAACGTAACACAGAAGCAAAGTTCAACCTCATTTCAAATCGCTTTAGTCTCAGACACTTCTCTTGGGTTTAACGACACAAATAATGTCTTGTGCAAAGATTGAATTTGAACTTGTAGTTTTCGCTGAAATATTTGATAGTGACAGGATGGATGTTGATATTCACAGTGTTTTTTGCATCTACAACGTGCATGAATGGTTTTGTAGATCGAGAGGCACGACAGCTGTGCCTACGACTACCTGGAGGTCCGAGACGGCCCTCTGGAGACGAGCCCTCTGATTGGTCGATTCTGTGGCTACGACAAACCTGAGGACGTGCGCTCCACCTCACACACACTGTGGATGAAGTTTGTCTCAGACGGGACGGTGAACAAGGCCGGCTTTGCTGCTAACTTTTTCAAAGGTGTGTGTGTCAGCTGGTTTTCTCAATATATTCTAACACAAAGGAAATAGATGTGCGCTGACTTGTCTGACGTGTTTTTCAGAGGAGGATGAGTGTGCCAAGCCAGACAATGGTGGATGTGAACAGAGGTGTGTAAACACTCTTGGCAGCTTCAAGTGTGCCTGCGACCCGGGCTACGAACTAGCTCCTGACAAGAAGAGCTGTGAAGGTAACCGTGTGTGTGTGTGTGTGTGTGTGTGTGTGTGTGTGTGTGTGTGTGTGTGTGTGTGTGTGTGTGTGTGTGTGTGTGTGTGAGAGAGAGAGAGAGAGAGAAAGAGAATCATTCATGTTTGTATGTGCATTCCTTTGGCTGTTGCAATTTTCTTCTGTAGGATATGAGTCTACCTCATCAGAAAAAAAAACATCCCAACGGCCTCCATCAACAGGAAAAAACATCTTTCTGACACAAAGCCACATGTCTCTCAGCTCCAATGCCAAACATTCTGTGAATGTCCTTTAATTCCATGAAGTTGATTGGTTCCCATAATCTCCCACATATTGAAACAACTGACCAGACCACTTGTGACGCAGAGAGAATACGCTATGCGTTTCAAATATCCAAACTGTCGTTTTGCTCTATTCTTTGAAGAGCAGTAGTTACTCCCGATCCCCAGTGAAATAATGTGGGAAAATCCTGAAGAAGGTGGATAACATTTAATTAAAAAACAAAGAGAGGATTCTAGCCGCAGACTGAATCAGTCATTCAGAACTAAAAGAAGCACGGCGATGAAATTGTAGGAAAAAAACAGACTCTTGACCAGAGTCACTACCTAATGCTAATATACGAGGCTTTTAAGCACGGGACTCCCAATAGGTTGTTCTGTGAAATGCTGTCTTTGTGGCTTGTCTGAAATGTCTGTGTGTTTCCAGCGGCGTGCGGCGGTCTCCTCTCAAAGCTGAATGGCACCATCAGCACTCCTGGTTGGCCTAAAGAATATCCGCCCAACAAGAACTGTGTGTGGCAGGTGGTCGCTCCCACTCAGTACCGCATCTCCATGCAGTTTGAGGCCTTTGAGTTGGAGGGAAATGAGGTGAGTGTTTGTGTGTGTTCTCTTTTAATGGGCAAAGTAGCCATCTTGTTGATGTGTGTTACAAGGGCCTTGTTTGTGTGTTTAGGTGTGTAAATACGACTACGTAGAGGTGCGCAGCGGCCTTTCACCGGACTCGAAGCTGCACGGTAAATACTGCGGCACCGAGGTTCCCGAAGTCATCACCTCGCAATATAACAACATGAGGATTGAATTCAAATCTGACAACACCGTCTCCAAGAAAGGTTTCAAGGCTCACTTCTTCTCAGGTAAGGCACTTGTGTTACACCTGTGTGTGTGTGTTCGTGTCTCAGTGGGTGGGAAGAGCACTTTTTTGTGTTTGGATAGTGCAAATCAAATATGATAGCTCACCGGGTGCTTTGCTAACCCCCTAACCCTCACATTAATATTGGATGAACATGCAAAGCAAATTTTAAATGTAAATTGAAAACCTTTTGTTAATTCTTTGTAATTTATTTGACTGTGTTATTATTTGTACCTATGATATACAATTCATACTCACTACTAGTGCTGCACAATACATTGTTTTATGCTTTCTTCCTGATTTCCACCTGCACGAGAAACGCAGAGAGAAAAAAAAAAGTTTCGAAGTTTTAGTTGAAAGCAATTAGTAAATGACATTATAGAATGCAACTATCATAGTTTTTTTTTATTATTGGTGCCTTTCATTTTCAGTTCAATGCTCAATTTTTCCAAAGCAAAAAGGTTGAAATGCTGAGTACATTTCAATATCTTCTTATTCATTGCAGTATTATCCTTAGCTTATTTAACAATGTCATCACATAAGGCATATGTTACTCATTGTGCATCCCATGTGACTCCATTGTGGTTAAATGCTTAAGTTTAGACAAGTAAAACACTGAGTTAGATCACCGTCATGCGGTTAAACATCAAAAACAGTGAAAGCTGGTGGAAGATGGAATTAAAACCAAATTCTTCAGCCCTGATTCTTTTGTCTCCCTCCACTGAGTGTTTGCTTGTTTGTATGTCGACGTATGTCATGTTTTTTTAGTATTTGTGTTATTTAATATCCATATGTTTGCACACCCCTCTGTTTTATTGTCTGTGTCGTGCTGTGTCTCCGCTCCTCCACACTCCCACCCTGCCCTCTCTCCCTCAGACAGGCTGGCTCTGTGTCGTATGATTGTGTTTGAGTCATGCAAGGACATAAAGCGCCGCCGCTCACCCCCCCGCGGCCTTATCAACAAGCTGGCAACCTCATCAAAGGTCAGAGGTAACATGACCTCACAATCGGACTCTCTGATTGGCTCTCGTCTACCATGTGACAGGGAATGGAGTGATCCCGTTTTATCGTGGATCATCGTTTCACTCCATTCTCCTCCAGAGGGAAACATGTGCTTTGTCCAAATTCCATACTACAGATTAGTTTTACTGATATTATTTATACAACACAATAATAACATTTTACGTAATTTCAGCAGATGAATAATATCATTATACAAATGTATATGGGCCAAATAAAGGCTCAGTGCAAGCTGCAATTAGAAACTAAGATTAAATTGTTAAAGTTATGCTTTTTAAATATTTGCCATATTGTATTATATTTGTATCAAACAGTTTTCTTGTTATTATTGGCGTTAGGCACACAAAAAGGAATGTGTTTTACCAATTTGTTGTAAAAGAAAATAATAAATGTACTAAAGGAAATCGATCAAACTGCAAGCTACAGTACAGCCTTTTTCAAATGTCCAAATCTCCCAAATGTATAAAATATATTACTTTTTATTGTCTGGCATGTTACAGAAATGTCACAACTTTCCACTTTTTGTTTTAGTTGGAAATTAAATTGAATTGAGTTAATTTAATTTAAATGTCTTAGAGCTGTGAGAGTCCTTCTTTCTGTTGCGTAATAGGACAAAATGGTCTATGAGCACCACAATTGAAAATCAAATTAACATAGGTATGTACAATTTTTTTATTGTTACTTTGGAAACATGCACTGTACACCCTAGCAACCCACAAAGATTTAGTGCGTAGTTATGGAATTTGGACACAGCTATGATTCCCCAGTACAAAACCTCAACAAATATTCCCCACTCGCCGCTCCTGGGATGAATTTGTTGGATGTTAACATTAGATAATAACAATTATAGGAAGTTGTCCTGAAGCAAAGGTCCACATTTCTCTTTTATTACTCTAACATTTACAGTGAGTAAAAGCGAAAAGTTGAAACTGCTCCAACAGGCAACTTCAATTTAACATTTCCGTCTTCGTCAGAAGAACTAAAGCTGTCAACTGGATGAGCTCGTCAAAGTTAAACTCCCTGCAGAACACCTGGAAGTTAAAGCACTCACAGTGGTGCGTGGCTTCACAGAGGATTTACTAGGATAAAGTGTTTATGTGTGTGTGTGTGTGTGTGTGTGTGTGTGTGTGTGTGTGTGTGTGTGTGTGTGTGTGTGTGTGTGTGTGTGTGTGTGTGTGTGTGTGTGTGTGTGTGTGTGTTTGATAAAAGCTGCTGTGTGAGTGGCTCTTCTATTGTCAGAAGCTGTTAGTTGGCAAAGATCCATCAGCTTTAGGGAGGTCCCTTTGGCCTCCCACACATCTATTCTATGTGAGTTTGGATGTGTGTGTGTGTGTGTGTGTGTGTGTGTGTGTGTGTGTGTGTGTGTGTGTGTGTGTGTGTGTGTGTGTGTGTGTGTGTGTGTGTGTGTGTGTGTGTGTGTGTGTGTGGACATTGTATGGCTAACAAAAGGCTCAGCAAAGAGCCATTAGGGAGAGAGAAGTTAACGATGTCCATAAAGATGGGGGGAGGAAGTTATTGACTGCCATTTGTGAGTGAGTGTGTGTGTGTGTGTGTGTGTGTGTGTGTGTGTGTGTGTGTGTGTGTGTGTGTGTGTGTGTGCGTGTGGACATTGTGTACTTGACCTGAGCAAGATACAATGAACACTGGAGCATCTACAGCAAAGCTTCTTAGCCTCTGTTAGGGTGAGAATGAGCCCACAATGGCACCGTAACCACATCAGACACACACACACACACACACACACACACACACACACACACACACACACACACACACACACACACACACACACACACACACACACACACACACACACACACACACACACACACACACACACACACCCTTCCTCATGCTCTGTCTTCCTGTGCGGTCATCTGAAAATTCCCACCTCTCTGTCTCCGACACCGAGCGAGTCCTCCCTGTGATCCTCCAGCGCTCAGCTTCACTAAAAAGTGCTTTGTCATCATGCAGTCACAGTGACGAGAAGCCGTGTGGTGAGAAGAAGCCACAAATTAAAGGATGAGGGAGAGGAAATGACTAAGAAGCCTTACCAAAAACACCCCCAGTTGGTTTCTTTCAGTTTTTGTTTTAAGGCTACAAATATTTAAACATTTTTAACCTCTTAACGAGCAGCTGCCTGCCACTTATTATAAACTCATACTGTGCCGCCAAACATTGTTCAAGTTTACAGACAGCTTTATTCCCAGTTCCTGTGGACAACGGATTCCCGTGCTTAAACCTCTAAAGATACAAAATATGTCAAGCTGAATTTGGGGGAAATGTTTATAAAAACATATGACGTGACATCTGGAAATGGTTGGAAATGACATCTGGAAATGATAAATTAGGTCTTTATGTTTGAATATTATATTATAATATGACTTATGTTATTATTTTACTCACTGTAAACATCATAAAGCTTTAAGAGATGACAGGCTGATCCATAATATGGATAATACTGTCAGGGATATGTTTTTGAATTACATTAAAGCATTTTTGCTTTTCCACTGACAACGATAAAGTAAATGTAATGCTTCAGCAAGCAACTGGTTAGCCTAGCTTAGCACAAAGACTTACAGTACAACAGGAAAACAGGAAAACAGGGCCGTCCCCAAGCGGAGGACCCGGGTTCAATCCGTCTCTTGAGCATTTGCCACATGTCGTCCCCACTGTCTCCCCGTTCAGCCCTATCTCTACAATAAAGGCACTGGTTTCTCCCCCCAAAAAGCATCTGAAAAGCTCTGTAAATAAAACATATTTCTTGTTTAATCCATGCAATTAATGCAGCATAAAACAAAATCCCAGAAAGATTTAATGTGCCTTGCTGTACCAACTTAACTGTATCAACAACATAGAAAATACCACTTAATAAGGATTTTAATAAGGCGAGAATATTTAATAATTCAATTCTAGTTGATTTTATGTAACGGAACCGTTCCATAAACAACAGTTAGGACTCATTGAACTTTCAAGAAAACTAGTTCTTCTTGTTTACGTATATGCAAATGTATGGAGCAAACTGCCCCAATACCGACTCAATTTATTCATGGGATCTACATTTAGGCGTCACCATGACAACTTAATTCCCCACATTTCCTACAATGTCCTGTGGTAGCGAACAACACAGATCACAGAGAAGTAGGTCTGCAGCATCTTTCCAAATGTATGGAACGAGGCTCACAAGATGACGAACGAAGGAGACGTGTCGACAGAAGCTCTCGTCACATTTTTACAGCAGTCAGCTGAGTTAACATCAGATTGAACAGAGGCGGTCGGCCCAGGAGAGAACAGCTGATGTGAGAACAGCTGTTACGGTCAGAGATGTTTCCGAGCCAAGGCGTGAGTCTGACCACAGAGCAGCCATGAGCATGAACGCCAGGAGCAGCAGGAAGACAGTTTTATAGGCCAACAGAAACACATTACTCACACTAACTAACTCCATTTGTGTGTGTAGGTGTTTCTATAACTCTAACTTTATGTTATTGCTTTTTGTCATTATTTTTAGGGCCGCCCGCTATCAGTTCATTAATTGGTCGTTTTGGTCTTAGTCAACTTAAGATTCCTGTAGTCCATTATTATATTTTTACGGTTTCATTTATGAAGGAAATTTGTGAGCAAATCTCTGGAAAACTTAAAGTGGACCTATCATGCTATATTTGAATAATATATTGTTGGGCCATACCTATATAAAACATGTCTGTGAATCTTTTTTTTAAATACCAAACAGATTGCATTTTAGCCTTGCCTCATTTCGCTCTATTTGCTCTTTTCCAGCCCTGTTTTTGCAAGGGCTGATTCTGTGAGAAGTCTTCTTCGCTGCTTTTGTGGCAGACTACAGCGCCACTTACAGGCCTGGCATATGTACTACAGCGTCTCCAGCGCTTTCGAGCGGCAATGGCCGTGGCCCAACCCCCCATTCCCCTGATAGGTGGAGAGTTGCCCATATAGGCGGAGCACCCCTTTGACATCATAGAGGTGCAAATCAGAATCCACATGTATCAAATCCGTTGCAGCCCTGTTTTTAGAGATTTGGGTATGGAGGAAAAGAGAGAAGGTTGTATTTTCTGACACTTGGTGAGTTCCCTGACACACCGGGGACACATATTCATGTATAAAAGACGTACAAAAGTGCATTTTGCATGATAGGTCCCCTTTAAGATTTTAACTGTATTTTTTGTAGAACGTGGGATTGACAAATCTGTCGATTAAATCAACTAATCTATTTTACTGCAATAACTTCCTCTCCTCTAACCTTTCTTTGGAAATCTTAACAAAGCCACCGACACATAGTAGTAGTCTACAGGATCGGCTTCCACACAGCGGGTTGTATTAAACAGTCGATGTGTCAGTCCTGATTGTGTTTTTTTAAAAACATAATCCAACAAAAGAATAAACAGTTGAACGCTTACAACATTGAAGTAGCGCTTGATTAGTGCAGTAAGCAATAAGTGAGTCAGCTGGGCATGCTAACATTTGCTGTCAAAGGTACGGTTTCAACCATTCCCATTTTCCTCTGTTCTGGGAATAACATTTATTTGGAGAAAAGCTTGACAGGCCTGCAGTGCCAAACTGTTTTGGGGAGGCGTTTAGCATACTGTCAAAGCATCTCTTCCAGCTTTCACTCTCCTAACGCCCTGTAATAAATGTTTTAATTGACAGGTCAGTATCTGCAGGCTCACAGTTGTTGTCGTTGGTGATCATGTTTGCCTAGCATGATTGCTGAATATGTACTGTATGTTCATGTTTTCTCACTATGTTCTCTTTTACTTTCTTTTTTACTCCCATTGTCGTTGAGCTTACTTCCCTAGTTTGTTTTGATTGTTCTTCTTGAGAAGTCACTCTTTGTTTCTTCACATCTGCCTTTTCAATGCTATCTTTTTACTCCTTTACTTATCATCTTTTTTTCCAAAACTCTCTTCCCCTTCCTCAAGGTCTCATCTTTCCGCTCCTCTCCCCTGCTTGACCTCTTGCTTCCCTCCACACCTTCTTTTTTTTTCTTTCTGTTTCCACATGATTGATGTGTTGCATGTGTGTCTCTCACAGACAAAGATGAGTGCAGCAAGGACAACGGCGGCTGCCAGCACGAGTGCATCAACACGGTGGGCTCGTACGTTTGTCAGTGTCGCCACGGCTTTGTACTGCATGAGAACAAACATGACTGTAAGGAAGGTGGGTTTCACGTGCACTCACATCAGCACACACACTGGCATAAAAGCATGGGAGTGCACATGCACGTGCCGCCACATTCACACAAGCATGTGGCCCTTCACAAGAGCACTCTGCGTCCGGCTTACAGCCCGTACTCTGTTTATCCTCATCAGAGTCCTCATGACAGCAGACTGGACCTTTCCATTTGAGGACTGTTTTCTTTACATGCTTTCAGCTCCAGATCTGAAGGTTTGAGGCTTAAGATATGGAGATGTTCAACTTTTAGTTATAAATATGACAACTGAAATAGTGAAAATGGGATGACTTTGACTGGAGGTGTGTAAAACTTGACTGGCTTGAAACTTGAAAAAAAATCCTTGAGAAACGCCAATTAATAATAAAAAGACAGTGTCAGGCAGGTTTAGCTTCAGATGTTAAGTAATTGATCACTCTAATTCTATTATTGTTTAATATTAAAACTGCAAAATGATCTAAAATATTTGTATCTTCACTTTGAATTTTCTATTGATGACTTGTGACTGGCTCTGAAAGACTCGAGTTTAACTTTTCATTTAAATACATCAAAATGTTTTCAGTGAATTTGTTACTTTGCGTGGACTTGTCAGACATTACTCTATTTAATTACAGGTAATTTATAACATTATAATACAGCATTTGTTTGGTGAGAAGTTTTTGGTCTGTGGTCAGGGGTACGGATTGACATGAGACTTGATAATACAAATGTATTCAATTATAAAGTTCTTGTGTAGGTATTAAGAGATGCTTAACTTAATTTGCCTCATAAGACTTACAGTATAGTCACTGCAGCTGTGTCTGCTGTGATGTGTGTTTCTGTGTGAGGAACACACACACACACACACACACACACACACACACACACACACACACACACACACACACACACACACACACACACACACACACACTCTCTCTATCTATCTCTCTCACACACAGA